GATTCAGTTTAACTTGTTTCATCACTTCAGTTATCAGGTGAGCATATCATAAGTTATTCAATGACTTTGTGTTTTCCTCTTCTTCATCATAGAAGATCGAGCAGTAAGCAGTTGTTGTTCTTCTGGCGAAACCTTCTACAAGGAGTGATCCCTTCACGAAGGTTAGTGGCTTGAGTTTAAAACTTCCTTTTTCTACATCACTTTTACGATTTATCTAGATATCCAAATTAATTGATCAAATGCAAATTTATGACAACTTTTTTAGTTGTTAAATTCTTCACATGTTATAATTGTATTGAAGAACGTAATAGAAAACAAATGAACAGTTTAGCAAACTTTATCCAAGTTTGTCAAATTTCTTCTAATAAATGAGGGAAACTGGAAAGGGTATTGTCTTCCAACTCAGCATCACATTTTTTACTTTTTCAGATGAGTTTCTTCACCAGTCATGTCTGTTTGAGTGTGCAAATAGTTTTGTTCTCTCTGTTTTTTTTTTAATTTTATATTAACAGTTGATACAAATACGCCTAGACACTAAGGCATTAGCATTTTGAAATTGCCCTTGGTACTATTAGGACAATTTCTGGTTTATGAGCTGCCTCTGTGCACAGACCTTGCTGAATGCAGCATTTGCCCAGAAATTTAGACACCTTAGAAGGCCCAAAAAGAATTTGAACAAGCTCATTGATGGAGAAGCTAGATGCTAGGAAGGTAGATATGAAACTAAAGCAAATGAGGCTTTGGAAAGGAATGAATCCAAAGGGCAGACGTAGAGCTATGGCTGAAAAATGTTGAACAGTTTGCAAGTGAAGTAAAAAAGATCATTGGGGAAATTGAGCAAGGGAATGAAAGATCAGGTGTTTTTCACCATGTTAAGTTTGTTCAAGAATAAAAATCGGGAAAATCATTGAAAAAAAGATCTTGGAGGTGGGAGAGCTTCTGAAGAAGGGTCAATTTTCAGATGATTCATTGGCTGAAACTTCACCAAGAAAAGGACACACTCTCCCCACAACAAGATTTGCGGAACTTAAATCCACCACGAAAACTTTAAGCAAAATCTGGGAGTTCTTATTGGACGAAAGACTGAGAAAAATCGGTATTTAAGGTATGGGTGGTGTGGGGAAAACAATAATAATGGCAAAGATTAACAACCTTCTGTTGAAAGAGGATAGGCTTTTTGATTGTGTTGTATAGGTTAGCTCTCCAAAGGAAACAAACCCTGAAAAATTACAAATATCATTTCAGATAAGTTTGGTTTAGATCTCTCAGCCTTCAAGACGAGACAATAAGAGCTGTTTCACTTCCTGAAGCTTTCCAAAGAAGGGGGAGATTTGTTATGATGCTAGATGACTTGTGGGAGCTGCTCTCTCTCCTGAAAGAGTTGGAATACCTGTACCAACCATAGAGAATGGCTGCAAACGAGTGATAAGCACCGAACAGTTGAGTGTTTGTAGAGGTATGTCGGCAGATAAGGATGTGAAAGTAAACGTTCTTGATTAGAATTAAGCTTGGCAACTGTTCAGAAACAAAGTTGGAGATGGAGATGAAGCATTGGCTTCTCCAGATATAGAGAGAATTGCAAGACGTGTGGCAAGAGTGTATGGGTTCGCCTTGGCATAATCACAGTGGGCGGAGCTTTGAGAAATGTTACTGATGCTTCAGAATAGGAGATTGCATTGCTCAGACTAATAGCTTATGGCTTTGGATCTTTCATGTTCCCGGAACATCAAACAACATTCCTCATGGAACAGAACAACTAGGCAACCTCAGACGACTAAATATCTCAAATACTATGATTAAAAGTTTGCCATCTGGCTTTCTCTCAGCATTAGCTCTTATAGAAGAACTGTCAGTATGTAATGTTCTTGGTTTCAAGTGCCATTGCCACAAACCAATGCTGAATTCAGCATAGATGAATTCATATCCTTCGCAAGTTTATCTACTCGTGAAGTGGACTTTTGGAGTTTTGAAGTCCATGATCTATAAGATCAGGTCACTAGTTCAGCTAGATTAAGTTTAAGTTCAATGTTGGACCTGGAGAGATCCAAGAAACCTCAGAGAAAAGAAGAATATCATTTCTGGTGTTAACCGTTGTGAAAGGAAGTCCCGTTTTAGTCCCAGAAAATACTGTTGAGTTGATGTTTTATGATTGTCATGATATGACAGGGCTAATTACTCGCCTTGTTAATGCAGAGAAGCTTAAAAAATGCACTGCCGTGTGCTGTTACAGTATAGAATACATTGTTGATCATGGACAAAACGATTTGTCTATGCTGGAGACAATAGTTCTGAGGTTTTTGATGAATTTAAGGATGATTTTCGGGGAAGTGGTGACACCATCTACTCTTACGAGCTTGAAGATCATTACTGTCCCAAGTTATGAAAAATCTATTCTCAGGGCATCTCTTACTGCAACTATAAACCTTGAAGAAATTAGAGTCAGACATCGTAACAGTATGAAGGACTTGATGATATATGGGAGGAAGACAACAATAATTATGCAGCTAAGGTCCTCTTTCCAAAACTAAAGGAGTTGAGGTTGGAATTTATGCCTGAACTTAAAGGAATATATGGTGGGTTCATCAGTTATAGCTCTCTATGCTCTCGCTCATTAAGTATAATCATAGCCATACACAACCATCTCTGTTCTTGTCTTTCACTTGTTGAAGTCATTTTATATATACAGAATTTATAGAATAAAAGGATTCATCATGTTACTGTATAAAATAGAGGCATCTTGTTGTTTAGTTGATGTTAATTTTATATTGATATTGATAGGCTTATTGAAATATGCTAGTATAACTTGGCATGCATGTGGCAGCATGACGCTATTGACCAGGTAGGTTATTCTTTATTATCTCACTTCTTCAATAATTTGCCAGAGTCCAAAACGAGAGAGATGAAAATCTGAAATCCGAGGCTTGAACAAGTGGTTTCACCAGTAAGATCCTTAGCAGATACCGAAACTGTAGACACAAAAAGAACTTTTGAAGAAAAGGTTGTCAAGTTAGTTAGTAAAAACTACCTTTCAACCTTAATTTGTTGAACAAGGGGTATATAAAAATGCAGAATCATGGTCTCTTGTTCATGTGATAATTTGAATGACTATGCAAAAACAAAAGGTGGGCTCCACATATGCTCTGCGATGGGCTAGGGACGTAGAATTACGGTTAGCAGTTACAGCTTTTGGTTCAGTGACGAAGAAAGATTATAACAGTCTTATTTTTCCATCAGAAAACCATGTATTTTATTTACCAGGAAAAGAAACTTTCAGTAGCATGATAATAACCTCTGATGTTTTTAAAATCCATTGAAGTGTCTTGTTCTTATTCTGTTTTATTCTTTGCTGTCAACCTATCAAATTTGGAATCTGAGTAACATAAGCAGGGAAGTAGGAAGATTTGGTGATGAATAGGACTTATGGTTCAAAATGGGCACAGTGACTTGTTGGAATTGGCCTCTAGTTTTAGGTAGTGTAAACTCTAAATAGCGAAACCATAAGGTATCAGTTGTTGTCAACTACTTACCTACTTTTTCTATCTCTATTGCTGATGCCAATGGTTACTCTGATTTTTGTTCTTTCTTCTTTTTTTTTTTTTTTAAATTCAGACTGATTTATCTGAGCTGTTTTCTTAAAAAGCTTGAATTCCCAATATTATACACATCCTTAGTTTGGTTGCTGTCTTTCATAATATTTTTAACTAGTGTTTTCCTTGGGATTATCTACTAGCTTCAACTGCAAACAGTTAATGTCTTATTCTTTGGCCAAAAAAATCTATCATTTGTTTCTCATAATAGGATTTTAGGTAGTAATAAACAAATAAATATATTCCGACCCAAAAAAAAAAAAGATGAAATTACCTAGATGTACCTTAACTTTTTGTTGAAATTACGAAGATGTCCTCTTAAATTTTAAAACAAAAAACTTGAATTATAAAAAGTCGTTTTGTTTTATCAAGATCACATAAGATTTTAAGTTGAAGTCCTAGTTATGTAATTTCGTTAAATACTTATTAGGAGAACTTGCTTTCATTGCAATCCGACTCTACTTGATCCAGACTACGGAGGGTCTAAAAAGCTCCGTATAATAGGTGCATTGCCCAATAAAAAAAATCAGGTTTCTTCTTTATTTTCAAAACATGCCCACATCTTGTCTAGAATAAAATTTCCTTTTTTTTGTGGGGGGGGGGGTATTGTTGGCCTGTTGAAAGAGAAGCCTCGTGGTTCATTCTGGCCCCTCCCCCTAAAAAGAGTTTATACATGCACTGAAAGTAAAATAAATACTTGTAGAATTTTAATAGGACTCAAAAGGTCAGTGTAATTCGTCTTTTCATTTTAAGAAATTTGTTTATAGATAATGAAAAAAAAACTCATAAGTCTAACAAAATTCAAGAGATATTTTTCATAATTTATTTAAAAATAATAAGAAGAGAAAAATGTTACTGAAAATTACAAGAAGAGCCGTATCCCTTATGGAAAGAAACAGAGGAATTGAGAAAAGATCCTCTTTCCTGTTGTTTCCTTTTAGTTTAAAGAATACAATAATACCCCCTCACAACTATTTTGGCTTAAATAATTACGAACTGTTTTGATGTAATACGTCTTTGTAATCTCAGTTACTTGACGATCCCACTTGAATTTTCCCCCCTTTTTTCACTTTAAAAGTGTGAGACAAAATTGTACACATATGCATTCAGATTAAATTATTACTCAAATCTCAACTATGTGACCTATAATTGGCTACAACATGGAAGGCAGAAGAATAATTTAAGAGTTTCATTTCATGCACCGGTAACCGACCTGTGATTGGGAGACGTCAAAGCCACTTAAGATCACCCAGAGGCCTCAACTGCTTTTGCCTGTCTCTTTGGTACTTTTGTTCATAAAATTATTATTTTTATTTTCTAATTCACATGTCCATTTTTGTCAACACAAGACATTATAATTAAACAGCACAATAATGAATAATCCAAAGAGGAATAATCATGAGAGACAGTTCCTTATAAGGTGGGTAACAAGATCTGGTTATTTTCATTAACAGTACATCTCACTAACTTGACATCATACTCACAAACTATATTAGCGTCTTTACCTTCATACTTATTATAACCATAAAAAGCACTTTTATAGTGTTATACTACACATGCATGACACAGCTGTTCTAGTACACCAATAATTAAACATAACTTAATTTGCTAGAATTCATCAGTAATCATCTTCTTCACACAGTTGCTACGGCCTTCATCGCTTCAAACCTTGGTTCTTTGGCCTGGAATTTCAGACCGGAGTAGAGCTTCATGTAATCATTGAACACAAATTTTGGGTATACTTGGCTTGCTTCGTCTTCCTTCACCAGCGACGGTGCCGGGGCGATCACGGCTTCATCTCCTGGGTTGTAGAATGAAGCTAGGGACATTCTGGTTCCGTTTGTTTGGGCAACCACACGGTGCATCACGCTCTTGTATTTTCCATTGGTTATAACCTGTCATGATCCGAGCAAAAAGACTGTTAGATTGGTGATCTTGAACTCCCATGCATGATCATCTCATCCTATTGGTGACATTTCTCTGGTTGGTACGAATCTTGCACACAAGATGTTTGATATTTTGGCAAGGTAAAAACTGACACTGTCAAAGAGTGGATATAATTACTCATGAAGTTGTGTGGACAGTGGGACACGTGGTGGATATTGTGAGGTGTTATGTTGTGTCATCATGTGAGTATCAGAGACTCGTATGATTCCGTTGTTGAAAGATTGATGGTTTACCTCGAGTTGGTCGCCGAGGTTGACGACGATGGAGTGGCGCATTGGTGGGACATCGATCCACTGGTCGCCCTTGAGGAGCTGCAATCCACTGACCTTGTCATCTTGGAAGAGAAGGATGATGCCACCAGCATCAGTGTGAGCTCTCAGACCTTTGATCAGATCTGGTTTGGGACAAGGAGGGTAGTTGCTAACTTTGGTCCCAAAATTTGGACCTTTGGTACCATAGAACACCTTCTTCAGATACCCTTTCTCCAGCCCAAGGTTCTCACACAGCAAATCAAGAAGCACCAAGGCCAGCTTCTCCAGTTCAGCTGCAAATTCCTTCATTGCCCTCCTGACACACCCCGAAAATTAAAAAGAAAAAAAATAGCACCAAGAAGCATGCTTCTGTCAGACTCAGTCACACGGACTTGTACCAAAAAGAAGAAACCTACTGACACGAATAATCTCAAAAGGAGTGACTGATTCCATACAAAAACTTTATCTCAAGTGTCCAAGTTTTTTTCAATTAAAGTGTGTTTAATTAGACTCTGCATCAAATTTAACCAGAGAGAGAGAGAGAGAGCATGTGAATGAGATTGAGATTGTGATGTGGGACCTGTAATCTTCTTGGAGATCAGGGATCTCTGAAATGTTAGGGGTAGGAAGATGGCGAACAAAGAAGGTGCTTTCCCAGTCTAGGTCATTAATTTCAGACTGAGCAGATTCAAGGCCTTTGCTTGCCACCATTTCTTTGAACCTCTGCTCCATACACTTCTTGTAGTGCTCTTTGCTCAGCCTCTCCACTGTGTCCATCAGCTCAGCAGAAATCCCATGGTTCAGCAGCTTCAGAAGAAACAAGGAAAACCCACAGAACAAAACTTGTATATCAGAACAGAAAGCTTTTCCCTGAACCCAGAAATGTGAACAAAAGAACAAAGAAGAAATTAATGGAAATATCATGTTAAAGCGTTATTACAAGTACATATAGTACCTCAAAGAAACCCCAGTTCTCACAGGCATCTTTTATTGCTTCCATGGTGGTTCCTCTCTCTTGAGTGTTGATCATCTTTCCCAAGTCAATCACTGGAAACCTCTCCATTTTTCTCCTCTCTCACTTTCTCTCTCTCTCTCTCAGAGGCTAATGGGCTGTGCGAGGATATGCTGTGTGAATGAATTGTGAGGATTGCTGTTTCCTGGGGTGCAATTTATAGGACCTCAAGGAGCTATTCCTAGAAAAAAAGGAAGAACGAAACATTTTAATTTAATTTAATATACCAAGGAAAGATAAAGTTATGATGATGCTGTCTTCTTCAATAAATTCTTAATAACAAAAATAAAAATTGTACGAAATATTCTCATAACTTTTTTTTTATAATTGACTTGATTTATTTATTTTTCTTTTGAAGATACCTTTAGAATGCATTCAATTGGAATATTGAGTTTCACCATCTAAAACATTTGGAACGACCATGTATAATAAATAGATTGAGAGATTATTGAATTCTCTCTCATGACATGATAGTCATTTTTTAAGGGAAAGATGAGTAGTGAAGCATTAGTTTATTATTTTTTGATGCATTTTGTTATGATATATCAATTAAAAATATATAAATGCAAGCATCAAATCCAAGCAAGAAATAAGATCCTTATCAACTCCACCACTTTGACATGGAATTTCTAACAAATTTAACACACGGATGTGCGGCCGCAAAAGATAAGAGAAGAAATATAGAGTATGTGTCAAAATCTTGAAGTCGAAAACTTAATGGTAAAATGTCATTTTAAAATGATAAAAAAGAGAGGAGGATGCTTTCGACAATTATAATACCACACTTCCGAAGAATAATATAGCAGCAAACAGCAATAAACAAAGTTGGGTGGGAAACTCCAATCTCGGGAAAGGGAAAGAGAAAATAGAAAAATAAAGGGCAGCCGCGAATCTAAATAATCTCAAAGTAGAAGAGATAAAGATACTAATATATTCATGTATTTTAAAGAAGCAACTAATTAATTCAAGTGTTGATCTTAGTAAAAAGAATTAGATTTTGCTTCAGAAGGATATCTTTTATTCAAGTTTTTACTGAAGCAAGAGATGTTTCTAGAAAAGCTACATAGCACTCATTTGTAGTTCAACTTGGCTCAACTTGCATCAGTTAGAGTTTAAAAGTAATTTAATCTGCATTAGATAAAATAACTTACGAATATCTGAAGTCATATTAAATTCTAGCTAATGGAAAGTTTAAGTTCTGCTCAAGGATATGATCACTCTTATTCAAGTTCATGTGAAATCTCCAAGACATCTTTAAAAAAAGTTGCCATCATTCAGTACCCAATTAACTTATCAGTTGGAGTTTAATGTGACTCAAATATGCATGGACATGAAGTAGTTTATATTATTGCATTATAACATTATTCACTTATAATTTTTGGATTTTATTTAGAGTAGTAGATTATACACACACATATATATATAATATTTCTAAAGAAGATTGAAATTGAAATTTGAAAATATAAGGCAGATGAATGTGAAGCTAAACATGTTGGGGGTGGCGAGTATGAGGAATATGTGGCGAAGATGTTTGTGGAGGAATGCAAGGATCCCTACTTAGTTGGCAGGAACAGAGCCAGGATTTAAAAATAAGGGAGGCCGAGAATAAAAAATATATATACTATAAAATTTTCATAAATTTTAGAAGGATCAAAAGTATGTAACACCTATATAATATAAAGAAAATTTTAAATTGGGGGTCCACGGTCCTGCTGATCCCCCCTCCCTCCGCCACTGTTAGTTGGGTATGTTGTTAGTTGTTATTTCCTCCTCAATGTCATTTCCCTTCTTTCTTTTTTCCTTTTGTTAAAGTGAATATTTTGTTGGTAGATAATCTGTAAGATTTTTAAAACATTCTTTGACTAGTAAATAGTTTGTATTCAATGCTTATTATATATTGTGATGAGATCCGGCAAAACAATCCTTACTTGGCTGGTCCAAATTCAAATTTTAATTTTGATGTATAAATTTGTATTAAAATTAGTTAAGTAGGAACAATCCATATCTATGATCAGTACCTTATGGTTGTCATTCAAATTTATATTTGACCCAAAGGGCCTATTCTGTCTCTAAGCTAAGCAAGCAAAGATGCTGAGGGAAAACTGATAATACAATAATAAGAAAAAAAATCATTTTATACCCACATTTTATTATCACAGCCTCCATCAAGTCAATCTATAGTTTAATTCACGAATCTAGTTAAATGTTGATATATAATAAATTATGACTACATGTCAGTTTTTATTTTCTTAATATTTTTACTTCTGTTATATAACCCTGATCTTCTTTTCTTTTTTCATACCAGGACTCAATTATTATCATAGGAGATTTTTAATTAATTTAGGCTTTGTTTTTCTTTTTCCTACTTAGAATACGTCTAATTGCACATTGTAAACCATTAAAACTATGCTTTTGATGGATTTTGACATAAGATTTAATGTGTACCTAATATCTTCTTTTAAAATATTTACATATGAAGATAAAAATTAAAATATTTCAAAATAATTAATCATAAAAGTTAGTCTCTTATAATGTGATAAATCAATGTTTAAATTTTTATTAAAAAAGGTAATCACATTGAATATCCAGTCCTTATCTCAAACAAAATTGCTTTTAATAAACTACCCATACTGCCAAACTTCATGAGTACGTAGCTAGACATATTGATGAAACAAGGAATTATGAAAAGGTAGAGTTTCATTAGTAAGCCTATGAAAGAAAGACACATAAAGCTAAAGCATAAACATCATGATCAAGCTTAAATCAATTACTCTCTCAGATGTCTATGTCCCTCAAAAAGTAATTAAACGAAGTGGGTATACACACTTCGAATCAAACAAATTGCATTAATCAAATCATCAATCAATATATCCCATGAGTGGAAAATAGCATCTGCAGTTATATTTCTGTAACCATTAATTAATGTATATATCTTTGCTTTAGCATCAATCTCTCTAGCTAGCTACTTCAAAATATTATCATTTGCAATAGATTAATCCTAGTTGTTAACCGATTAATTATATTTAATCAACAGATCTAGGGTTTTCATATCAAGTTATTTAAGGCATTTCCTTCCACCCAAATGTCCTTCTTTTTCTAAAAATAAACGTTCTTCACTATATGTATATATATATCTTCAGGTCTGATAAGAATACAATGTATCTATATGTATGTTTATGCATGAAAAATATATATATATATATATATATATATATATGTATATAAAGAACATATGTAAACTATAACATCACTAACAGAATATTTGGATTCACTTAAAGAATAAAATGAAAGATCAGTTCCTTGATTTAAATAAACATTTTTTTTTCATTTCCTTTTCTTTTTCTGTATTCATCTTCTCAATGAATACAAGCATACGCGAGGTTCTCCATTTGTGTTTTCTGAATGATTATGTAAAATTTAGAGGTTGGTCTCAACTTTTGAATACTTAATATTTTGATGATGCCGAATATGAGATCTATGAACACTGATGACTGATATGGGTTATTTGTTTGTTTGTCTTTCTTATTATTATATAATATGTGTATTGACATAAAAATTAATGATAAAATTCCTATAATTGTTAATAATTTTTGTATATACTCCCTCCGTTCAAAAAAATAAGACATTTTATAAGAAATTAGATGTTAAAAATGTAAGGTATTTTTATTTTTAGTCTTTTAAGGTGTAATTATTGTCCTTTTTTTCAAAAATATTCATATTGATAATGACTTTATATTTATTATAAAATGTTTAATAGGGGTAATTTAAAAAGATGGGGCTAGTTTAAAAGTAAATGACTACTTTATTTGGGGGTGAGATTCAGTTAAAAATGCCTTATATTTTTTTAACGGAGGGAGTATTTTTTAGTTTATAATTAATAAAAATGATCTTCGATATGCACGTAGTGAAACTGTATATATTTACTACTGACTGAAAGACATTATTGATTCGCATAAAAATTAAAATGACATTTTCGTCTAATAATAAAAATGACGGTTCATTCATTATTTAATACAAAGTACTATATATCTTAGTCGCACACTTGCAGTAGCATTTTAATGTAGCTAGGAAGAAAACACACACACACACACACAACGTATCTTTCTACAAACATATAAATATGCATTATATAAAAGTCTGCATTTGATGCAGCTTGATTTGTCACCATATCATGTATCAAGTTGCAAGATACCTTAAAGATTTCCAAGACATCTTGATTATATGCCTATTACAGAAAAGATAAAAATGTCAGTTTATGTAAGGAATAATTTATCCGATCATATGAGCTGTTCGCTTTTTTTTTTTTTAATGTGTGTGTGTGTGTGTGTGTACGTACAAGCTAATGATGATCATATCACGTACATTCTTAAATTTTCCCTAAATATATGCTCCAATAAGGTATGATACACACAGACATGCATATATTAGTGTATAGAAAAAGAAAAACTCAAAGATTGTTGAGATTTGATTTTGCCAGAACATTCAGTGTGAGTAGACTTAAGCTAAAGTGGGAAATTCCACATCTGATAAACATTAAATATAATAACTAATTAATATAAAATAAAGAGGAATGACATATAAATTTGGATCTAAAGATTTTTAAGTTAAGATGTAGCATAATTCATTATGTATTTGAGAATTGGTCTTAATATATTTATATAAGGAAATAGAGAATTTTGAACTAATTAAGTGCTGTGTACTTTGTATACGTCTGATTCGGATAACTTTAAGACGAGAATAAACAAGAGACGTGGAAATTTTGGATTGCAACATAAAAAGTAAAACAGTTCCTTCAAGCCGATTAATCTGGATCTCGCTCATAAAGAGATTTAAGTAGCAATGGAAAAGGCAAGCGAGTTTGAAGGAATAAGATATATAAATTCTTTTCTTTTGGCAATTCCTTAATTAGCTTTCTGGTATTTTGTTTTATTCTCAATAATGACAATTAATTAAAGGCAAGGCCATTATCATTCTCGTGGGAGGAAAAAGAAATCAAAGCATGCCATTAAAGGGGACTGATCAAACGTGTGGCAATAAAAGCAAACCAAGCCCATGTAATTATAAAAGGCTTTTCTCCAAGTCATTACTGTCTGGTAATTAAGTATGGCTCAGATTTATGTTTATTCTAATTTCAGTTC